CCCACTATCATGCTCAGTCCCCACCAGGATTTCAGCACTTCCTCTTTGTTAACATTCCCCTTGATCCTGCCCTACCAGGTCTCCCACACCTACCTCCCACCAATTTGGATCGCTTGTAGTTCCCTTGTCCCTGGGTTTGTTAACAACTCTGCCCCTCTCCCATGTCCCCTCGGAACTGTCAGTCCCCTTGTTTTCTCCTCGATTGTTCATCCAGCTTGTCCTATGCAGACAGGCCTGTTTTTCCTTTTTATTATTTTATTGAGGGCTCTTATAACATTCTGTACATCAGTTGTATCAAACATATTTGTACATGTTGCCATCAATTCCAAAACATTTTCTACTTGAGCACTTGGTATTAGCTCTTTTTTCCCCTTCCTCCGTGCCACAAAATGGGACCATGAACCAGTCCTTGCTGAGTGGGCACTGGTGGCATCGGTGGATGACTAGGCCATCCCCTGATGGCTCTGTGCCCTGGGGCAGGCGGCCTACCTGGTGTGCACACAGCACATCGAGGTTTCTTTACAACTTTTTTTAATAAGGTGTGTTGTGCCAAATTTAACTCACTAAACACTCATGTTTGTAAGCCATCTTAAGCACTTTATCTTACCAGTTTTAACTCGTACTACTCATGAGTATTCCTCTTGAGTAAACAGATACCGAGATGGTGAGTCACAGAGTAAGAAGATGCAAAGAGGATGTGCAAAGCCCTTGCCACCATCTGTGCCCCCTTATAAGGGTCAAACACTGGCTGGTATTTTTGACATTACACGATCACAGGTGGACAGGTGCCATTGTGGGTGTTAGGAGGGAGGGAGGGGGAGCCTGTCGGTAGTGGCTCCTGCTGAGGCATCTGAAGCAGTGCTCATGTGTTCACCCTCCGGTTAGCTGACTCCTTTTGGATCTCCAGCTTCCCTGAGAGTGTCGCCAGACCTCAGCACTCACACCAAGGGATCAGCAGGTGGCCCCTCTGCAGGCCTCACATGGTTCCTGGGGTTAATTTGGTTGATGGGTATCCATTTTAACCCTGCCTGCTATTGTCTCTTGGCCCTCATTCCATAGGGCCCAAGGCTGAAAGGGGGCATTCTGAAGTGTTTTCTGAGGCTTGGAGGCTTCAGGCGAGCCTATTGCGAACCAAAAGACTCCCTTCCCCACCACCTCCCTGCCCGCCCTCCACCCACACACTACCCCTGTCCCCCCATCGGGGGCTCTTTAAAAGAAGAGTTAAAAAGCCTAGATGAGTCCTCCAGTCCAAGCTCTCCTTTCTCCCTCAGACTGACTTGAAGGTGGGCGGTAGGTCATGGTTGGGAGGCCGGGGGCAGAGCCTGGATGGGCCTCTGTGAGGAGAGGTTGTGAGCTGAAGCCAGGAATGCTGCTGGGCAGAATGTGAGTGAATGGCTCCATTGAGCCGCGCTCTGTGGGGAACAGACCCAGTTTCCCAGAGCTCCTGAATGAACATCTGTCTGGGCTCGTTCTGTTGCAGAAGGCCCATTGACTGAGCTGCCTTGTGACCACTAGTGGCCACAGGCCCAGCATGCGGTCCAGCAAGCACTCTGCATTTCCTGCTTAGGGCCTTTAAGTGTGTGGGTAATTCCTTGTCTGTTACAAAGCTGCTCACACTGATGAGCTTTTCCAGTTTTCTCGGTACCTCCTGACCAATATTGGCCACTCTGTTAGTCCAGGTAGGCTAGAGAAACAAATCCAGGGAGACTCGTGTATAAGAAAGAGCTTTATATAAAAGAGAAATTTTCTATTTAAAAAAGCCCCAGCTCAGTCCAAATCAAATTCTGAAGTCTGATATTCGCCCATATGCCAAATACTAGTACAAAAATTCCTCTTTAGACTCACACAGCACATGCAATGATGCCGAATGCAGGAAGATCACAGGACAGTGGTGGATCCGGTGGCGGTAGAAGCATCTCAGCCCTGGTGTGGGTCTCTGCATGGCTCCTCCAGATCCAGGGCTCCAGCTGTCATCAGGGTGGCTCCATGTGGGTAGTTGCAACAGGAATGTTTCGCAGAGAGAGTGTGTCCCACCTCCAGGCAGGAAGACAGGAATTCCCAGAATCCTCCGGATAAGGCCATGCCCACAAAGAGGGATCAGGCTGACCTAATTGACAGGCTAGACTCCACCCCTTTGCTCAAATTGACAGATTATGTAACTGCCACAGCCACATTTCTAGTTGATGTGGACTATCCATGGTCACATAGCCCAATGGGCTCTAGGAGGCCAGAGTCACTCACTCATGCCTGGTGACCACACTGGCCACCGCTCCACCAGACTGATAGAAATGGGGAGAAATACTCCTCGTATGTTTGGATACAGGTGGGGGGAGGGTGCTCTGGAAAAACCGGGCTGGACTTGATGCTCCCAAAGTTGCAGGAAGAAGACTCCAGGAGTCCTAGACGTTGAAGAAGCTTCCATTCAGTTCCACTTGCTGCTGGAACACGTAACAGCCCAGCAGGGATCACTCGGATGACAATTCAGTTTTCAAAATGACATAATAGTATGTCCAGTGAAATGTATTTGAGTGGAAACACGCTGTGAGCTGTAATGATCACAATCCCTACAAGGTATTAGGTGATTTATTCCTGTAATTCAAAAATCAAAACGGCTGAAATGCATACCATACAGCTCATATATAATATGGTTTTTAGGAGTTCGAAATTATGACTACGCAGTTCATTTTGGGATTTGCCTGTAGCTATTCTGCATGGCTCGATTTTAGAAAAGTATTTAAATGAACATTTCCAAGTATACTGAGCCCTACCACCAACGAAGCAGTACGAGAAGGTGCTGGTCTTGAGCTTCATTCAGGTAAGCCAATCATCGAAGCTTCATTCCTGAGTTGTGGTTTAATTAGGGATGCGCATGGCCCTAGTTTAAACCAATGGCACGTGAGAGCAATACAGCCTTGACACTGAGCGGTAGCCACCTGCAGGGTTGTCTTGCCCTGTGAGGATGAGGAAGGGTAGTCCTGGAGCTGCTGCCATGACAGTTTCTAACTTGATGCGGCGCCACCCCAGGAAGGAAGATGGATGAGGAAGGAAAAAGAAATGCACCAAGCGCTGGAGATAAAACATTCTGGCTCATACTCCTTGGAAACCCATGGGCGCAGTTCCTACCATAGGGCCGCTGTGAGTGAGCCTGTCTGTGACATGGATTTCAGTATGCTTATTGGTAACCCTCAGTGCTGGGCTGCATCCACCTGTCGTTCTCTGCTCTTCTAAGGCTGCCGGCTGTCCATCAGCAGGCTGTCTGCGGTGCCTGGGCCCTGCTCTTCTCACTAAGGGGAAGGCTGTGGCTTCTGTGACCCGCTGGGGCCAACGCAAATTTCTTGAGTATTTGCAAGCTGCGCGTTCCTGCATCCAGGAGGTAGACACGCACCGCACCGGGACCCTGCGAGCAGCTCAAGTCCAGCTGTTCTGGAATGACTCCCAGCAAGATGAGACTCCAGGAGAGTGACACATTGCTATAGCCCTGCCGTAGCTAGCATCTCTCCTCTTCAAGGGTGTTTCCCAGCATTGCCTACAACCGATTAATTTGTACTCTGCTGAATCATGATTCTTCGGACAATCTTTCTTCTCCTTCACGCCTTCCTCTCCTCATTCTGTGCTAACCACACCATCCTCTGAACCTGCTTCTCCAAGGACTTTGCACTAGCTCTCCTGCACCCCTTACACCCTTCTCCCAGCTCCCCACGGTGGCTGCAGGAGTAGTAGGGGTCCCCTCATGTCCATCAGGTCTCAGGTTAACCTCCCCACTCCCAGAACTTTCTTTGTAGGTGAGTTAGTTTATTGTGCCAACAACCTGGCCAATAAACACATGAGGGGTCAATTGAAGAGTGGAGAGAGAAATGGCTCAGTGAGCCTCACCTTCTTCTTGCTTTGTGATGGTCGCACCAGGGTGCAGCTGCCTTAGCACTTCCCAGCTTCAGCTTGCAAGGCTCACTTCCTGCAAGACATCCCCAAGGAGAAGCCGCATGGACCTATCCCGATGCAGCCCTGGGTACTGGAGCAGCCTTGCGTGGAGACCCCTGCCAGTGCTGAGATGTTTACACATTCACTGACTCGGCTTTCCTCCTGCAGTTGGCGTCATAGTGTGTGTTTTGTGAGATGGAGGAGGACTGTGTGGATTGGTGTTGGACTTACGGGTTAATGGATTAATGTTGGACTTGTGGGCTTGGGCAGCACTGGGTGGGGATGTTTTCTTGATGCACACTTAATCTTTATATAAAACTCTTATACATGAGTTTCTGTGGGTTTATTTCTTTAAAGTACGCAGACTAACACAGTAGGGTATAGTATAGATGTTATGCTTTATTCTTCACACTGCCTGACAGATGTTCTATACTTGGTCCTGTGCTCCTGGCACTGGAATGTAAGCTATCTCAGGCCAAGATTCTGTCCCCAGTGCCCCAGGGTGATGTCTGGCTCTACTCTTAAGTTAAAAAAAACATATGGGAAATAAGTTAAGCTCTGGGGTCTGAAGAAAAGCATGCATTGATCATCTTACAGTGCTGGTGCTTGTATATGTTGTTTTTATTATTTTCCAGCAGAGAAAACAGAGGAAGCAATTTTGTACAAGAAGGCCTAGTTACTGAGGGGCACAACCATGAAATGAAGTGTCCCAAGCCATTGCCTTTGATTGAATTTGGTGACTCCCTGGCTGCCGTTGCAGAAACAGGAGAATAGGCACTTAGCAGTGTTTTGCAACCTGCTGATGCGGATGCCCTGCCTACCTTAGACTGGGTGCCTCCGTGTGCCAGGCACTTTGCACATGTCATGACACCGAAGGCCCGGAACAACTCCCAGGAAGTATTTCCATTTGGCTCTGGGGGAAAGTGACTTGCTCAAGGTCACATGGCCAACAGATTTGAAGCCTGGGTAGCCTGAGGTTATTAGAAGCTGGAACAGTGAGACCGGAACTTGAGAAACATCAGCCATGCTGGATGTTCTAACCTGCCCCTGTCCTCACTCCCAGCCAACACACTACAGGGGTGAACATCCCTTACAGATCTGTGTGAGAGCCTGGCTTGAGAGAGGGCCCTAAGACTAGAATTACCTAGTCACAGTCTCTATGAGTCAGAACGGACTCGATGGCATACTATGCGCTAAGCTTTGTGTCATCATTCACACCTGCTCCAGGCGCGTCAGGCTTTCCCCCTTTCTTCCTCCCACCCCACGGGCGCTGTCTCACTGTGCTCCAGCCAGAGAGAGAAGACCAGAAATTTCTCCTGGGAGCTGGGGCTCAGATCCCAACACATCTGGAGCTTCTGGGAAGGAGGAATGTCCTCCCAGACTGGGTTTAAAACCAAAATAGCCTCACCCACATCCCACTCCCGGTTACAGAACCACCCCCCACCCCATCACCACTCCCAACCAGAAACCCACGGGAATGTGAAGCCTGCACAGTGAAGAATGTCAGGGCCTCTGTGTTTCTCTGAATCCTTGGACACCATTTATGGCCTTGTGCTGACTGACGATTTGTCTCAGTCCTGTTTAAGACTCAATAAATATGTCTCTATAGATTTTTTAAAAGAAGAATGTTGGCCACGGAGCATCAAGTGAGATCACTCAGAACGTAAGCCCCTGCCAGGACCTTGCCTTGAGCCCCTTAGTAGCCTGTTCTAGGCCCCACAGGGCAGGCCTGGTCCTTCTAATCTTTTCCTCCTTTCTGGGCCTGCCTTCTGGACAGGCAAGGGAAGCATCAGATGACAACGTGTTTACAATTTGTAAGCCATAAACAACTAGACTCAAATTAGAGGCCAGTATGGCTCCAAGAAGTAACATTCCCTGGGGTCAGAAGTCCACTACTGAGGCTAAAGGCCATGTAGATATGTTCGGCTCATATAAAGGAGCTCTGGTGGCATTGGGCAGTGGTTCAAACCCACCAGCTGCCCCTCGGAAGAAAGACGAGGTTGTTTGCTCCCATACAAATTTAGTCCCAGAAACCCTGTGCTATGTCACTATGAGTCAGAAATGATTCAACGGCAATGGGTTTCCTTGTTTTTCTCCCAGTGTGAGCTGTTGGTAAGAACTAGATTCAAGTCCTGACTCTACCACAAGCTAGTAGGTCTAGACCTTACACAACTGACTCATTTTCTAGCATCTCAGTCTCTCTAACTGTAAATAGGTCTATCAATGGTGCTATGTATCTATTACTAAAAGTTTGCAGGATGCAACCAATTTGGAAAGCGGTTTGCCATTTTTCTGAAAAGCTTAAAACGGTTAAGGAATGAGCTAGTAATTCCACTTCCTGGGTGGGATCTGCCCAAGAGAAATGAAAATATGTCCACACACAAACTTGTGTCTGAATGTTCATAGCAGCTAAAAGATGGAACGACTATGGCGTTTCTCTGGGGGACATTAAAAATATTCTAAATGAAAGGGGGAACAGATGACAAGGTCTGCATATGGCCTCCTCCCTGGGGGACGGACAGTGGAGAAGTGGGTGAGGGAGACGTTGGATGGGGTAAGACACGATAAAATAATGATTTGTAAATTATCAGGGGTTGGGGGGGGGAAGGGGAGCGGGAAGGGAGGGGAAAAAATGAGCTGACACCAAGGGCTCAAGTGGAAAGTGGGTGTTGTGAGAATGTACTGATGTGCTGGACACAAATGACGTATGTACAGATTGTGATGAGTTGTATGAGCCCCTAATAAAATGATTATTTAATAATAATTAAAATATTCTAAATTAGATTATGGTGATGGCTGTACAACTTTGTAAATATCCTAAGGATCATCAATCAAGTTGTACACTTTTAAAAGGGTGAGCTTTATAACCCAATATATTTAAATTGACGGGAATTATATCTCGATAAAACCGTTGAAGAAAAACAGTGAAAGTAGGTCGAGCCTGGGGCAGTGCGTGGCTCAATAAACGTTGGGCATTATTCCTAATAATGAAATCTTCACAGAACAAATCTCAAGCTCCCAGAGGAGCGCTGAGCAGGGGGTCGGGGCGGCCAAACTTTGAGTTCAGGCTGTTTCTTGGGCGAGTCCCTGAAGACAGGTATCTGAACACCTGAGACAGGTATTCGAGCGCGTCGTAAGTGAACGAGTGAAACAATTCCCCACCCACCTCCCTGGGGTCTCGCGAGGCGCGGAGACCCAGAAGCAGCTGCCAATCTGGGGCTACCGCCTGCGGGGGGC